CCCTCCATCCACCCCCAGCATCCATCCATCCACCCGTCCCAGCATCCCTCCATCCATCCCATAAACCCCCAAAATCCCTCCATCCACCCCCAGCATCCATCCATCCACCTGTCCCATCGTCCCTCCATCCTGCCCCATTGTTCCTCCCAGCCCATCCGCACCCACCATCCCACACGCCCCCAGCGTCCCTCCATCCACACCCACCATCCCACACGCCCCCAGCATCCCTCCATCCATCCCCATAGACATCCAACATCCCACACGCACCCAGTGTCCCTCCATCCATCCCCATCCACACCCACCATCCCACACACCCCCAGCGTCCCTCCATCCATCCCCATCCACACCCACCATCCCATACGCACCCAGTGTCCCTCCATCCATCCCCAACCACACCCACCATCCCATACGCACCCATCATCCCTCCATCCCACCACAACCTGTCCCATCATCTCTCTTTCTCTTTGTGCCCATGTCCTTGATTTTGAAATGCTGGACCCTGCAAACTTGCAGCATGTGGCTCCCCCTAGTGATCGCTGAGTTCAACCTCTATCTGTGGACGGGGCGGGGGAGGGGATTTTGGTGCCATCTCTGGGGTATGTCTCACCCTTTGGGGTCATGGCTCAGTGCTGTGCCCGGGTCAGCCTGCGGGTTGAGCAGCAGGGTGGTGGGCTGCCCCAGGCTGTCTCTGCTGGCCTGGCTCCAGGATCAGGGGCTGGATCACAGCTACTGGCCCTGCTTTCCCTGCAGCGAGGGCCCCTGACTTGGTGCAGCTGGGTGCTTTGGGGGCCTGGGGAGGCCCCCCCCTTCCTGCTGGCAGCCCAGGGGAGCACAGATGAGTAGGGGAGGCAGTGTCTCCACACTGTTCCCCGCTTGTCACGTTATTGACTTGAACTGGGACCATATAGAACATGGGTGCAACCATGGTCCTGTAGTGGCACCAAATCTTGTATAAAGGGGGTCAAATGAGGTGGCTAAGACAAGGTTATGATTTGCTGGTTATGATTATGCTATCTGTGTGCATGGATCATTTTTATATTTAAAGTTATAAGTATTGGCTCTATACTGTCTGTATTTCAAACTTATGCTATGCTTCTGGGTGACATCCCAGACAAGCTGGTGTCAGCTCTGCCTAGCCGGCTTGATGGCCCATTAAGGACCATCAGCTATACAATGGACCCATTGAGAGAAGGCAAATACGCCTTGTAACTCAGCAAAGTATGCAGGGACTGGCCCATGTGACTCCAGACTCCATTTTGCTGTAATTTTCCACAGTAAGGACAAAGAGGTGTTCTTACACCTGGAAAAGACTATAAAAGGCTGATGCCTCATCTCCATCTTGTCTTCAATCCTGCTTCTTACCTCTGGAGGGACTTTGCTACAAACTGAAGCTCTGAACAAAGGACTGAGTGACCCATCCCAGCTGGGGATGTTCCAGAGACTTGATTTGAACCTGCAGTTTATTCCATCACTGCTACAAGCCTGAACCAAGAACTTGGCCATTACTGTATGGAATTGATTCCATGTAACCAATTCTAGCTCTCATCTCTATTTTCTTCCTTTTATGAATAAACCTTTAGATTTTAGATTCTAAAGGATTGGCAACAGCGTGATTTGTGGGTAAGATCTGATTTGTATATTGACCTGGGTCTGGGGCTTGGTCCTTTGGGATCGAGAGAACCTTTTTCTTTTACTGGGGTCTTGGTTTTCATAACCATTCGTCCCCATAACGAGTGGCACTGGTGGTGATACTGGGAAACTGGAGTGTCTGAGGGAATTGCTTGTGTGACTGTGGTTAGCCAGTGGGGTGAGACCGAAGTCCTCTTAGTCTGGCTGGTTTGGTTTGCCTTAGAGGTGGAAAAACCCCAGCCTTGGGCTGTAACTGCCCTGTTTTAAGCGATTTGTCCTGAATTGGCACTCTCAGTTGGGTCCCGCTGGGGCTGGCCGAAGGGTGACTATGGGCCCGTCCTCTGCTGGCTTCAGGGGAGCGACAGCTGCCGCTCACCGGGGGTCTGGCCTGACACATTGTGCCGGTCCCCAGCATTCAGACGGGGTCCCTGGGCTGACTCCGTTCCCTGCCCGCCCAGCACCACACACCCTGGGGCTCCATTAGGCGCTCTGGTGCTGGGCAGCAGGACAGCGCCCGACGATTGCCTAATAATGAACCCCGGGGCGCCCTTTCTCCCTGCCTGCACTTGTGTTTCACTCAGACACGCTCAGCTGGATGGGGACAGGGCTCTGCAGTGCCCTACGGCGGGTCCTGGGGCCCAACGCTCACTGCAGGGCTCCAAACCAAGGGCCCCCCATGTCAGGGTGGGGCACGGGGCACCCCCCCATGGCTGGCTCTGACCAGGGCTGTCGGGATGGGCACAGCCCCCCCCCCATGGCTGGCTCTGCCCAGGGCTGTCGGGATGGGCACAGCCCCCACCCCCCCATGGCTGGCTCTTCCCAGGCTGGAGGCTACCTGGTTTAGCGGTGTAACTCCCCCTGCTCGTGCCCGACGAGGAACCCAGCTGCTCCTGTTGATAAAATACTTTATTAATGCAAAGGGGGGGGAGGAGTTTCCGGCACCCACGGCCCCCGCGCCCGGGGGCCTGTCACCGCCGCTAGGGGCTTTGGAGTCTGGAGCACAAACCACGAACCTACCTCATTGCTAATACAGGGGTCAAAGTCTGGGCCCGGGCCCCCCCGCACCCGGGGCTGGGAGGGAGTGGGGGAGGAGGGCATTGGGCAGCAGGCAGATGAGGGGGGCAGGGGGCATCTCTAATAGACACTGAGCCACTTCCAGGGAGCCGGGCCCCTGAGCCCCCTTTCCAAGGAGCTGTGGTCCCAGCTGTTGGGAGCCCGCAGTCCCTTTTCTCCCCCAGCAGGGAGCGCCCTCTTCCCGTCATAGAGATGCAGGCCCCTAGGGCCGGCCACGGGCTCCCCCAGCCCCATCTCGGGTGGGGGGGGGGGGGGAAGGACGGGGGGGGGGCCGCGGGGGCGCCGGGGGGGGGGGGGGACGTTGCGAATCTGCCCCGGCCCTGGACCCCTGGGACGTGGGTGTGGGGTGAGCACCCTTGGCTGGAGTGCATGGGCCATGCATTGGCTCTGACCAGAGGGGACCCCCCTCCAGGGGCGGGAAGGGCCCGTCCCGCCTAGCACCATGGGGGGAGATGTGGGTTTCAGGGTCGCCCTGGCTCCTCCTGCGAGGCCGGGCCCACTGGGAAGGTGGCAGCAGCGGGGCCGGGGCGGCCCCTCTCCCTACAGGTCGATGGTGTCGCTGCTGACGCTGAGCGCGTCGATCTGCCGGCACACGTCCATGAACTCCTCCTGCAGCACAGCCGCCTCGCCCGCCGGTGGCTGCGGGGCCAGAGAGTCCAAGGACTCCTGGGAGGCCTGGGCCAGGGGCAGGTACGGCCCCCCGGGCGGCGGGGGGGACCGGCAGGGGCTGCTCTCGCCCGGGCCCCGGGGCAGCTTCGGCTCGTACGCAAAGGAAGACGCGTGGGTGGTTTGCTCCGGGCTGGGACACAGGACCAGGGAGGAGCCGTCCAGGGAGAGTCCGTAGGGGGAGCTGGAGCAGCGGCTGCTTTCCCTCCACCTGCCCGGGGAGCAGAGGGGGGTGTCAGGCGCGCCGGCCTCCGGGGACGCCTCCCCATCCCCTCCCTGGGGCAGGGCCGCCTCCAGCTCCACGCAGGAGGAAGTCCGGTACAGGCCGCGGCTGGCCGGCGTCTCCCCGAGCCCCTCGCACTCCTGCAGGCCGGGGCTCTGGAGGCTGAGTGCCAGGGTGCTGGACCTGGCTAGGGCGCCGGTGGGCTGGAAGAGGCTGGCGGGGATGAGGGCCTCGCTGAAGAGGGCCTCGTCAATGCTGCGCCGCAGGTTGATGGGCGACGGGGGCCGGAAGTCGTCGGTGGGGTCACCGTCCATGGCCATGCTGATGACGGAGGAGGTCTTCGAGCCGTAGCCGCCCTTGAGGCGCGTCTCCGAGGCCCTGGCGGCCCCCGGACTGTGGGCGCCGCAGTAGCCCGCGGCCCCGTCCGCACTCAGGCGGCTCCCGGCCAGGGCGTAGAGCGGCAGGAACTCGGAGTCGCTGCGGGCGATGGTGTCACACATCACCAGCTTCTCGTGCTGCGCCACGGCCCACTGGAAGTTGTTGGGCAGGACGGGGGCCTTCACGGGGCCGCGGAAGAGCGCGCCCCAGCAGTGCACGCAGGGGGGCTCGTGGGAGCAGAACACGGGGTACAGGCCCACCAGGGCCAGGGGCAGCCCGGTGCCCACCTCGCAGAGCCGGCAGCCCAGCTGCAGCGACCACCAGGGCCAGGGCCCGAAGAAGCCCGGCGGCAGGCCGTAGCCCAGGGCGTGCAGGATGGCGTAGGCCTGCAAGGCAGCGCTCAGCAGGGCGAAGCAGGCGGCCAGCAAGGTGGTGCGCGCGGCCCGGCTCCAGTCGCCAGCGTCGGCGAAGGGGCAGCGGCTGAGGTGCTCGGTGGGCGGCGTGGAGCTCTGGAGGTTGTAGATCTGCGTGGCGTCCGCCCGCCCCAGGCAGTAAAAGGCGAGGAAGGCGAGGGAGAGGAGGGCGGCCAGCAAGGCGAAGGTCCCCCGCGAGACCAGCAGCAGGAAGGGGAACTGGCGCAGCAGGTCCGCGGCCAGGACGGCGCCCACGGCCACGAAGAAGTGCAGCAGCACCAGGGCGGCCAGGCAGCCAGGGTGCCGGAAGCGGGCGCGCGAGAGCTTGACGCGGGAGCGGGCGGAAAGCAGCAGGAAGGCGACGGCCAGCGCGGAGGAGAGGCAGGGGAAGGGCAGGTCGTGCAGTAGCAGCGAGGCGACGGCCGGCAGCCGCTCCTGCTGCCCGTAGGCGTCGTAGAAGAGCAGGAAGGCCCGGGCGGCGCCGGCCAGCAGCAGCAGCAGGTCGAGGGCGGCCAGGAAGGTGCAGCCAGCCGGGCAGCGGAAGGGGAGGCAGGCCAGGCTCAGCAGGGAGAGCAGGGCCAGCAGGCTGAAGAGGGAGCCGGCCCCGTAGACGTGGGCTTCCCAGGCCAGGCCCCAGTCGGCCATGGCCGTGTTCCAGTCGGCGTGCAGCGTGACGAAGAGGGGCGGGGAGGGCAGCAGGCGTGGCACCGGCGGGGCCTCGGGCTCAGGGCTGGGGGAGCCGCACTCCTCTGGCTTCTCCGGCGTGCACCTGGGCCAGGCGGCCAGCGCCCCCTCGCTGCCCGGAGAGGGGCCGTGCCGGCCTGGGGACGAAGGAGACGGAGAGGCCGTTAGCGGGGGGGGAGGCAGACCCAGCGCCAGGGCCCAGCACCGGCAGGGAACGCAGCAGGTCTTCGTGGCCTGCCATCGTCGCGGTGACGCCCACAAAGCCCACCCCCTCCTGGCTCTGCGGGGCCGGGGCCAGGAAACGCGCCAGTCGCACAAGCTGGGCAGCACCGGGGGCCTGGCCAATGGGGGGGACCACGAGCGGGGCACCAGGGGCAAGCTAGGGGTGATGGAAACAGGCTGCCCTGCCTCTCTGCCACGCAGAGAGCACGCACCAGCCGCAGAGCGCACACGCATGCACACACACACCAGCCCCAGAGCACACACACACACACACAGCACACACACAGAGCACGCACCAGCTCCAGAGCACGCACGCACACACACCCACACCAGCCCCAGAGTGCATGTGCACAAACACACCTGCCCCAGAACGCACACGCATGCACACACACAGCACACACACAGTGCATGCACCAGCCCCAGAGTGCACACACACACACACCAGCCCCAGAGCGCACACGCATACACACCCACACCAGCCCCAGAGCACATGCACACACACACACACGCACACACACAGAGCACACACCAGCCCCAGAGCGTACGCGCACGCACACCCACACCAGACCCAGAGTGCATGCGCGCACACACACACACACAGCAGCCCCAGAGCGCGTGCGCGCACCCACACACACACAGAGCCTCAGCGCGCGCGCACCCACACACACACGAGCCCCAGAGCGCGTACACACACACAGCACACACCAGCCCCAGAGCGCACGCGCACACACACACACCAGCCCCAGAGCATGCGCGTGCGCACACACACACCCCCCCCCCCCCCCACACACACACAGAGCACGCACTGGCCCCAGAGCACGCAGACACATACACAGAGCACACACACACACATGCAGAGCACACACCAGCCCCAGAGCACGCACACACCGGCTCCAGAGCATGTGCATACCCACACACAGAGCACTCACCAGTCCCAGAGTGCACACACACACAGCATGCACTGCACTGGCCGCAGAGCACACGCACACACACGCACAGAGCATGCACCGGCCCCTGAATGCAACCCCCCCCCACACACACCCCAGTGTGCACACACATGCACAGAGCAGCACACACGTGTCCCAGTGCATACACACATGCATGCTAATGTACCATCACCTGGGAGACACTCCCACTTAGACACTCACAGAACACATGTGCAGACACAGCCTTGTGCATGTGCATTTCACACTTGACTACGTGCCCCTCTGGGGGGCAAAGGGGGGGCTCTGAAACCCAGACAGGCCCCACAGTGAACAGGCCCCAGATCAGGACGTGGCGACTGCTGTATTCAGGCGCTCGGGTCAGACTGTGCAAACACCCTCCGAGCAGAACACCCGGCCACGCACACAGCCCTGCGTTATCTGCGCCTGCGGCTGGAAAGCAGCCAGCCAGGGACTCGCTGTTCTGGAGATAAAACATGAAAGCAAATAGCCCCTAATCCGGGGGCCCTGGGGCTGCAGAGCTGCTGGCAGAACGTGCCGGGCTGCTGGCTGCTTGTGGGGAGCCGGCTGGCTGAGCCCCTGTGACCTCGGGGGGGGGGTGCTGACTGTCAGCTCAGGCAGACCCGCTGTGTGGAGCCCCCCATGCAGCTGGACTGGAGGGGGGACCCAGGGGACAGCAGGGACGGATGCCCGCCATGCACAGGGTGGCACATGGCGCTGGAGGGGGGACCCCAGGGAACCCCATGCTCACTCCGAGGCCGCAGAAAGCGCCCGGGCTCCTCAGTGAGAGCTGGCTCGGGGCCTTGGGTCCCTCCCCAAGCAGGAGGGGGCGCTGCTATGCACCCCCCATCCCTGCCGCGAGGAGAGCCGGGGGACCCCTTCTCCCTGCTGGCAGAGGCCACCTGCCCCGGGAGCTCCAGGCCAGAGAGTGCCCAGGGCCGGAGCTCTAGGCAGGGCGGACAAGCAGTGCCAGCCTGGGTCTGGGCACGGCCAGGAGACCACCCAGGCAAGCGCAGGGACCTCCCCCCTGTGCCAGGGGCTGAGAAAAGCCTCTGCTCTCCAGCACGCATGGCCCCCGCTGGCCGGCCCCGTGGGCGCTGGCGTGGGGGAGGGGAGGCTGGGGGGCTCAGGGGCATTGTTGGCTGGGCCTGGGGCTGCCTCCCGGGCTGTTTGCGTAGCCAGGGGCTTCTCCAAACACAGCAGCTCACACAATGGCCGGCGGCTCCATGGGGCCTGGCGGGAAGCGGCGGGACAGACGCCAATCAGCGATCGCCCCAACGCCACCACAGCCCGCCCCCCTTGCGGCTCCCCCGGGCGGGCTGCACTGGGGCTGACCGAGGTGCCCCCCGGAGCTCAGCCCTGCTCTCCTGGCCCGGCCCTGCACCTCGCTTTGTTTATCCCTCGGGAGTCTAATCCGGGGCTTTAGCCAGGTTCGGATCAGCACCAAGTGCCTTTGCAACCCTCTCTTCGCTGGATTAGTTCTGGCATCTCTCAATCCGCCCGCCCGTTTGCATCACCGCCGAGGAATTTGCCACGGAGCCGGCTGTCTGGCCCCCGGGCCGGGCCCTGTGCAGCCACAGCCTGGCCTCGGGCCGCCGTGTGCCCTGCTATTCACAGGATCATCCTGCCTGTGCCCGGCCAGCGCCATGGCCCGGGGGGCAGAGCTCAGGCCCGGGGGTCTGGGGGGCTATGCCTGGCCAGCCCCTCTCCAGCCCTCTGTCCACAAGAACGCTCCCATCCTCGTTCCTAATGCGCTGAGACGTAGGGACGAGAGGCACAGGGTGGGCTCTGGCACAGGGAGGAAACGCGGCGGGGGGGTGGGGGTGAGCTCCTTGGGAGGGCTGGCTACGGAGCTCCTCCCAATGGGGTCCCCTTACGGAACAGAGGCTCTGGGGAGGGCTCCTCGGGGTGCTGGGGGGGGCGCGCCCCAGGAAAGGACACCAGGGAAGATGCAGCAGAGGCTGGGGAGGGGAGGCGCTGTCAATGCCCAGGCTCAGCGGAATCCGGTCCCAACGGCGGGAGCAGCTGCAGCCCCAGAGCCGAGGAATTAGGAGGAAGGGCCGGCGTGAGAGACCCTTCCCCCCGTTGGCAAGAGGGCCTGGCTGCTGAGGGACCAGGACACAACTCACCCCCTGCCCCCTCCCACCAGGCGGCTGGGGCGGAGGCCGATTTGGGTAATGTGTCACCGTTGGTTAAATAAGCTGAAGCCCGGAAGGGGCACTGTTCAATATACATAAGCCCCATAGGGCTTACTAAAAGTCCACTGGGGGAAACTGAGGCAGGGACTTAATTGCAGCGCTGCCCTGCCAGGGGGCGCTCCAGGGGCAAGGGCCCCATTACATATGCACCAATAGGGCTGGATGGATGCTGGGTGTGTGCCAGGGTGGCAGCAGACTGGGTGCCGGGCCAGAGAACGGCTCCGTTACCGAAGGAGGCAGAACGCTGCCCTGAATGCGCCCGCGGCTGGACTGGCCGAGCGGCGTTCTGCGCAGGTGTGCTCAGGCGACGGCCCCAGAGTCACCAGCCCCTCTGTTTCTCCGCCCAGCCCTGGCACGGGCGCCCGAAGCCGCCAGTCCTGCCATGCAGCTCGCTGAGCAGCCTTTCTCCTGCCGGGCTTCCCACTGCTCGGAGATCAAAGGCTCTTCCGCAAACCTGCCCGGACCAGCTGCCTCGGGGAGTCGTCAGCCAGTCCGCACGCAGCACCCCAGGGGCATCGGAGGGGGGCAGCAGAGACGTGCCCTTTGTAATGTGGGCGAGGAGAAAGACTCCTCCAAGTCAAATGCCAGCACGAGGCTGTGAGCCACACGGGCCAGGAGAGCAGGACGGGGCGGAGAACCAGCGAGGACGAGCGCGCGAGCATCTCCGGCTGGCACAGTGACATGCGCGCCAGGGAGCCAGCGCCCCCTGCGGTTTGCTCGGGGGTCTTTGAAGTCGAGACTTTAATTCTGAGCACGTTTCCCAGTAGAGAACCACCCCCCTCCTCCGAAACCACAAGTGCTGGAGTCAGCAGAGACCCCAGCTGCCCCCTGGGGGTGGCAACGGCCAACACGGACAAGACCCTTCCCAGCCAGCCCTCGGTGGGTGTGACGAAGTGGGGGGTTTTCTTGGTTTTTCCTTGTTTTTTCCAATGGTTTGCATGCAGAGGGGGTGGGACTCAGTTTTCCTGGGTGTTAGTGGTTTAATGAGGTGATGGGAGAGGGAGTTTGTTGGTACACAGTACCAACGAGGGAACTTGGGACCCCGGCCAATGGCCTGGAGAATGGACACCCCAGCGATGGGTGACCTGGTGACCGGGAGGTCCAGCTCGGGAGTCACAGCTGGTTCTGGCCAGGTGGAGGACAATGGGCTGTGAAGAGAGGACTCTGGTGACCTGACCAGCTGGTTCCAGCTAGAGGGGCCCAGGGGACAGAAGAGGCCCAGGAGACCCTGTTTCCCTGGAGAGAAGACAATGGACAGAGGCGGGGCCTGGGGCCGGTGATCTCGATGCCCAGCTGGGAAGCAGGGGGGCTCTGGGCTGGAGAGGGGGAGCAGGCAGAGCCCACCTGGATGCAGAGAGACTGGGATGTGCTGGGCTGAAGGAGGCCAGGCCTGAGGCCCTGAGAGTTTCCTGTGCTGTGTTCAACTCTCAATAAACCTTCCTGTGTTACGCTGGCTGAGAGTCACTCGGCTAGAGAACGGGCCGGGGGTGGGGCGGCATCATCCCCTTCGGGGGTGGAGGCCCCACGGGGTCCAGAGCGAGGGGACTCCCTGAGGGGGCCCACGGCAGAGACAGATGCGCTAAGGCTCAGAGAGGTGCAGTTCCAGGAGGTGGAGGGGCCTAACCCCGAGAGAGAGTGGACCCCCGAGAAGGGCTGTCGCACTGAAGGGGGCTCCCCCCACGGACCACACGGGGCCAAGAGTGGGCACGATCTGTGAGTCCGTGACAGTGGGCAGCCCCCACCCAAACCAGCGCCAGGCTTTCCAAAGGTTTCCCCCCACCAAGCGGGAACAGGTTCACTCTACTGAGACCCCCGCCTCCGCCTGCAGAGCCCTGCTCTCCTGGCCCGGCCCTGCACCCCGCTTTGTTTATCCCTTGGTGTCACACATCACCAGCTTCAAAATCGGCCAACTTGTCTGGTGAGAGCTTCCCAGGCCAGGCTCTGCGGCTCCCTGGGGCACGCGGGGACCCTCCGGAGCTTTGAGAAGCTGGTTGGAGGAATCGCTGCTCATCCCAGGCCAGGCGTGGGGAGAAGACTCGTAAGAGAACACAGGGCAGCTTTCCCCAAAGAGAGCCCCCGGGGTGAGACCCCCAAGGCAACAGGGCCCCCCCCCCCCGCTCTCGCAGCCGAGAGGGGGATCAGCAAACTTGCAGGGGTGTCAAAATCGAGGGCGGGGGGGAAGGGGAAGAGGGAAGGAGACCGGGAAAGATCGACTGAGTGGCAGAGGGTCCCAAGCCAAGTGCTTGGAGAGCTGGCTGGGCGCTGCTGGCTCCACATTGACATCACCGGGAAGCCATTCAGTATTTTACCCTGGTTATTTGGCTGGGCTGGGGGCTGGGCAGGGAGGTGGGGGCTAGGGGGAGCTCAGCGGCCCCCCCGGAACACCTGGCCCTATTAAAGAAGACGACCCCGAATCCCATTCTGAAAGCAAACTCTGTATTTCCCTGCCCGCAGGCGCTAGACGGTGCAGAGGGGCAGGGGCCGAGTGACGCAGCTCTCTATGGACTCGAAGACAGTGTAGGGGTCTTGGTCGGCATTGACGTAGACGGCATCCTCGTAGAACTCCTCCAAGTCCGCCACGTGCCGGCTGTACAGATCCACCCGCAGCTCCAGCTTCTCCGCCGCGTCCTGGGGGTTCTGCCGCAGGCGCCGGCGCAGCTCCAGGCTCGGGGCCGGCTTGTACAGGTGGTGGTAGCGCTCGCCCGTGACGGGGTCCGTGGCCCGCTGAGAGACCCGCTCCAGGATGGCCTCCACCGGCAGGGTGAGGAAGAAGACCCGGTTGGGGACGAAGCCGGTGTTCCTCAGCAGCTCGGCCTGGTCCGCGTCGCGCGGGAAGCCGTGCAGCACCCAGCCGAAGGACGCGCAGTCCAGCTTGCCCAGCCGCTCCCGCAGCACCTTCAGCACCAGGTTATCTGCCACCGGGCAGCCGCTCTCGAAATACGGCTTGATGAGCTCCCCGATCTTCGACTTCTCCGCCACGGCCTCCTTCAGCAGCTGCCCGCAGCCCACGTTGACCAGGCCGTATTTCTGGGCCAGCAGGGCAGCCTGCAGGCTCTTCCCGCTGCCAGGGGGCCCGCAGAGCAGGACCCGGGGGGTGAAGGGGGCGGCCGAGCGGGGCTGGCTCTCCACGAACGTCAGCACCTGGGAGAAGACGTCGGCGCAGGGCTGGTCGGCGTTGACGGTCCGCAGGTTCCCCCGGTAGGACTGGAAGATGCCCTGGATGTTGCGGTGATACTCCAGCAACCGCTTGGCTGTGGCCTGCTCCGAGCAGCCGTCGGGCTGCACCAGGCGCTGCGCCACCGTGGGGTCGGTCGGCCAGTCAAAGGTGGTATGGTACACCTCCGTGCTGACGGGGTCCAGGCGCTTGCCTAGGTTCCTCTCCACCAGCACGGTGTCCGGCGCGTAAAGCGCCACCACGTGCCGCGGCACGATGCCGGAGGTCTGTAGCAGCAAGGCCTGCTCGCGGGTCTGGGGGAAGCCGTCCAGGACCCAGCCCTCCCTGATGCAGTCCATGTCCGAGAGGCGGTCCTGGAGCAGGTCGACCCAGAGCTCGTCGGGGATCTGCTCCTGCCGCTGCTGGTAGCTCTGCGCCTCCTTGGCCAGCACCAGCGTCTTGTTGGACAGCAGCTTCTGCTGGCTGAGGTACGAGGCGTTGAGGTGCTTGCAGAGCCACATGGCAATGGTGGTTTTCCCGGCAGCCGGGGGGCCCAGCACGAACACCCTGGGCACGTGGTCGCTGTCCTGCTTCAGGTGGTCTATCATGAAGGAGACGGGGTCCTCGGGCTGGTGGATGAGCAGGGCCTCCACCATGCTTTGCATCAGCTGGAAGACGCCGTGCTTCTCGGCATACAGAGCCATGGCGGGGGGGATGTGGGGCTTGGCAGCGACGTCCATCTCTCCCCAGCTGCTCTGGGCGACTCCTCGGCGGGATTCCAAACCCGGCCCCGGGTTCCAGGGTTGCCCAGCAGCCGCCTGTGACATCACAGAGCACGGGAGTGGCGGGTGGAACGAGCAGCAATCCCGAATCGCCCACGGGTGCACGGGCACAGGCTGCCTTCCCGCGGCTGGGGGCTCCTGCGGGCTGCGGCGAGCACTGCGCTGGACCCGCTCCCAGTGGCCGGGCCGGCTAGCAGAGGGCTGGCCAAGCCGAGCCCCCTGGAGCGGGGAGACCGGCGGGGGAAGAGGCACTCGCTGCTCCCACCCGAGACTGGGGACCACGCAGCCACAGCGGGGGCTGGAAATCAGAGGGTGGCGGTGCCAGGCAGGGGATGATGGAAGGAGCAGCGGCAGCTCGGTTCCCCACGCCGTGCCAGAGCAGCGGGAGGTCGTCTCTGCCCGGCTGCGCTGCCCTTCCCGGGAGGCTGAGCCAGGGACACGGTGTGACTGCAGAGGTGACGGGCCTGTCGCCGGCAGAGCTGCTGTCCTCACGCCTGTCCAGATCCATCTGTCACCTCCACGCAGGCGGCACTTACCTGGGCTGACGGGCTGCCACCAAGCGTTTCTCCGCTCGCGGCGCCCGGGGCGCTGCTGCACCCGCCGGCCTGCACCTGGAAGGGAGCGTGCCGGATGGAGGCTAATGCTGCCTGGCACCCGTCAGCCTGGGCACGCAGGGGATGGCAGCTCTCGCTCCATCTCCCCATGGGATGTGACAGGCGGCCCCGGCCCTCCGCAGGGAGCTGGCAGGGAGCCGAGCGACCTTCAGGGGCGCAGCTTCTCCGGGTCCAACCGCACTCAGCAGCCCACCGACGGCTATCGCCAGACACTGTCCTGGCCCCACCGGCCGCAGGCTAACGGGGAGGAGGAAGGGAATACGGAAAGGGGGTGGGGCAGAGCAGGGGAGCCCCAGGGGAACAGGAGAGGGGATGGGGGGAGTGCAGTGTGGACAGAGGGCTGAAGGACAGTGGGGTTAGGAGGGGCTGAGGGCAGCAGGACAGGGACAGGGAGCAGGGGAGCATATTCTGCGCGCTCTGACCACACTTCATTGCAGAACCCTCCACAGGCAGAACGGTTCCGGCCAGCCCGGCCCAGCCCAGCCCAGCCCGGCCCAGCCCAGCCACTTTCCTGCTGCTGCTAGATCCTGTCATGGAAAGCTCCCCAAGGGCTGGCAGCGAGGGGTGTGCGGCCAGGAGCCGCCCCGGGGCTGGCGGGGCGGCCTGACCCTCACAAATCCCTCCCCGCCCCTCCCTGCTCTGAGACGTGCTGGGTTTCACGCAGCAGGGGGCGGGGGGGAGGGGTGAGCTGATCCCTCTGCACTCAGCAGTGGCCTGGGACCCCCCCGCCCCCCGCCCCAGGCAGGGAGCTGGCCAGGACACCGGGGTTCTCTCCCTGGCCTTGTCAGACCAGCATAGCATCTCCAGCAACTGGCAAAGGAGCCGGCTTAGCAAGAGGCCCTGGTCACATGGGGCAGACCCAGCTGCATTCCTCTCTCCGGGCCCCTGGCACCGCACCGCCCCCGCCCCCCCGGGACAGGATGCACCCAGTGGCTGCCCAGCAGGGGCAGTTCGGGCGCCCTGTTCCCAGTGCCAGCCCAGCCCGGAGCAGCGCCCCACCCAGTCCCCCCATGCCTCGTCCCCACCCGCACCCCGGGCCAGCCCCACCGGCCCCTCCCTGCACTGCTGGGAACCCCACTCAGGCTACAGAGGCAGGCAAAAATATCCGCACCTGGGCCTTGTGCAACACCCCGCTGGCCCCCCCACCCCCAGACCTGTTGAGCTGGCTCCTGGGCAAAGGTCTGACCTCCCCGCCCCAGGGTCAGGGAGATGCGGAGATAGCACGGAGCTCTGTGCAAAGCCAGGCGTGGCTGAGTCCACAAGGAAGCTCAGGGACTTGCCCCAGCCGCTGCTCAGCCCCCTCCCGTTAACCCTTCGCACACCCTGCTCTCAGCATCGTGCCCCAGGCAAAGTGTATACCAGGGGGTATCAGGGCACTGGGGTGGGCACTGAGGTATCGGGGGCACACTGGGGGGGTGCTGGGGGGTGTACCAGGGGATGCATTGGGGGGTATATCACTCTGGCCAGTCTGTGTGCTGCGTGTGTTTGTTGGGGTGTGTATCAGTGCAGCATTAGGGGTATCAGAGGGGTGCCTGGGGAGTGTATGTTGGGGGGGGATCAGGGGGTGCAATGAGGTGTGTATTGGGACTATAAGGGGTGTACTGGGGTGTGTACTGGGGGTGGGTGCATTAGTGTGTGTGTCTCGGGAGTGTCTCGGAGTGGACATTGGGGTGTGTATTGGGGGTGGGTGCATTAGTGTGTGTGTCTCGGGGTGCACTGGGGTGCATATCGGGGTGTATTGGGGTGCACTGGGTGTGTATCAGGCATGCACTGGGGAAGTATTGGGGTGTGTATCGGGGCTGGGGTGCATTCGTGTGTATTGGGGATGTATCGGGGTGCAATGAGGTGTGTATCAGGCATGCACTGGGTAAGTATTGGGGTGCGTATCGGGGCTGGGGTGCATTCGTATGCGTGTATTGGGGATGTATCAGGGTGCACTGGGGTGTGTATCGTGGTGGGGTACATCAGTGTGTGGGTATCGTGGGCTGTAGGAGGAGGCCCATTCTGCGCAGTGGGTGGGGGCATAGGGCTGGGTGGTGGGTGTCCTTCCGTGTGTGTCAGGGATTCTGGATGCCCTGGCGTCTGCTCGGGCTCCGTGTGATGGGGGCAGGCAGTGGGAGGGACTCAGAGAAGGAGGAGCTGGTTTGGGGGCTGCCCCAGCCCCACAGGACAGGCGGGTCACCCAGCGGCTCACCTGGCTCCGTGGCACGAGGTGGGGAGGGGCTGGTGTCTTGGGGCTGGTCCCAGACGCCACCTGTGCTGTTCCTCTCCTGTTGCCCCCTCCTCTCCTGGTGCCAGTCTGGGGGCAGCGTAGGGCCAAAGAAACCTGCAGGGAGACAGTAAAGGCCAGGCCTGGTCAGCAGGGGGGCCAGGGACCCTCCACATGCACACGGAAAGGGGGACGGCTTGACTCTGACAAGAGTCGGAGACCCCCCGACACACACACAGGGGTGCTCGGGGGCCTGCTCGGGGCAGAGCCGTCAGCAGCAGGTGCCCAGCGGGTAGGGGAGGGGTTACGGGGCCTGTTGCAGCCAGGCCTGGCTCTAATTCAGCCCAGACATGTGTGACCCATGTCTGGGAGAGGGGCCACGGCACACAGACCACCCCCCCTCCCCGCAGAGAGGCCAGGCACAGAGATCCCCAGGAGCCCCGGAGGGGGTCCTGCCTGGCCCTGCCTCTGCCCATGGCATCTCTCAGTCGCCCACCGCGCGGGGGCCGTGCCCTCCTCCAGGATGGGGCCATGGAGCAGGGAAAGGACGAAAATGGCCCCAGTCCCCCCTTACAGACACAGGCTCCACCCCAACCCCAGCCCTCCGGGTTTCGACCAGAACACCTGATCGAAAAGGGACGCTGGTAGCTCCGGTCAGCGCCGCCGACCAGGCCAGTAAAGGTCCGGTTAGCGGTGCTGCAGGGCTAAGGCAGGCTAGTCCCTACGTGCCCTGGCACCGCGCTGCGCCCCGGAAGCGGCTCCTAGGCGGGGATCCCACAGGGCTCCTCTGCGAGCTGCCCCCGCCCCGAGCACCGGCTCCGCACTCCCATTGACCGGGGGGCGGTGCCTGTGGGCGAGCGCAGCGCATGCCACGGAGGCTCCTGCCCCCCCAGCCTAGGTCAGGAGCTGGACCTGCTGGCTTCTTCCGGGACACAGCGCGGAGCCAGGACAGGCGGGCAGCCTGCCTTAGTCCCACTCCACTGCTGACCGGGAGCCGCTCGAGGTAAGCCCGCGCCCCAACCCCGAGCCCCAACCTCGAGCCCCAACCCCCTGCCCCAGCCCTGAGACCCCCCCGCAAAACCTGGAGCCCCCTTCTGCACCCCAAACCCCTCATCCCTGACCCCACCCCAGAGCCTGCAACCCCAGCCGGAGCTCTCCCCCCTCCCGCACCCTAACTCCCTGCCCCAGCCTGGAGCCCCCTCCTGCACCCCAACCTCCTGCCCAAGCCCTTAGCTCTCTCCTGCACCCCAAACCCCTCATCCCCAGCCCCACCTAGAGCCTGCACCCCCAGCCAGAGCCCTCACCCCCTCCCGCACCTCAATTCCCTGCCCCAGCCTGGAGCCTTCTCCTGCACCCTGAACCCCACATTTCTGGCTTCACCCCGGAATCCGCACCCTTCACCGCCTCCCATACCCCAGCCCAGTGAAAGTGAGTGAGGGTGAGGGAGAGCAAGCCACGGAGGGAGGGGGGATGTAGTGAGCAGGGGGCGGGGCCTCGGAGAAGGGGCGGGGCTAGGGTGTTCGGTTTTGTGCGATTGGCAGCCCTACACGTGCCCAGGCTCCTGACTCTGGGCAGGGGCTGCTGGTGGCCATGCAGCAGGGGGGCTCAGCGTCGGCTCTCTGGAGTGGGGGGTACTGGCTCCAGCCTTGGGGCTCCGGGGCGCTCGGCTCAGCTGGTGGGGGAGCGAACGAGCGCTCAGGGCTGCCAGGAGCCGGTGAGTCAGTTAAGAGCTGCTGCGGAGGCTGCTGCCCGCTGAGGCCATCGGGAATCTGGACCCCAGGATCCGCGCTCCATCCCCCCGCGCCTGACGGGCCGGGCTCCCCACTCCCACGCTCGCCCCGGGGCTCCCGCCTGGGGCCGTTTGGTGGCCCTGCTTGAGATGGGTCTGGGGCAGGCGTCTGCACTGCAACCTCCCCATGACTGGTGCTGATGGCACCACGGGCACCTTCGGGGGCTGGACGGGCCGCGGGGGACGAGCTGCCCTGCCCGCGGACAGGGCCCGGGTGGGCCACGGGGGCCTGCTCTGGTGCTAATCCGGCCCCTTCCGTGGCTCCCCAGGGCAGGGGCTGCTGCGCTCGGACCCCCAGGGGAAGGGCCGGCTGCAGCCGGTTCTGCCACGAGGAGCACAGATCATATCTGTGCACACACACGTGTACGCACTCCTCACGCGCACACACACAAGCTCGCACACATGCAAACCCACACACGCACCTCACGCCCCCGATACACGCCCAGCACGACCTTGCACACACGCAGACCCCCCCGCCCACACAGCTCACATGCCCCGCCGATACACAACCAGCACAACCTGACACACACACGCAGACCCCTCCACACACCTCACACACACCCCGATTCACACACAGACAACCTTGCACACACACATACCCCCCCCCACAGCTCACATGCACCCCCGATAAACACACAGCACAATGTCACAGATGTGCGCACACACAATCTCGCACACACGCAGACCCCCCCGACAGCTCATATGCACCCCCGATACACACACGGCACAATGTCACAGACGCACACACACACACAATCTCGCACACACGCA